CAACAATGATGTTTAATATATATTTTTAGATAACTTAAAAAGGCCCTGAAAACATAGTTTATTTCCTGTATCCCTTATGACCCATTCGAATTGCAGCCGGGTGGATTTTTCTTTCTGCCAAATCTGCGTTTTGATCAATCAATCAGCTGATGCAATTTTTACCAAGAGTGTTAAATTAAGTTTTATTTGAGATATAAAATGTTAACCTAGTCAAAAATCACCTTTAATATAAAGAGTAATGATCATTATCGTAACATCTAGCATTTTCCCCACAACTTTCTGATGTTCGTTTTCTGCCGCTAGACAGCCATATTGGGTGTAAATATCACACCTGGTTAATTCAGTCCAGGGATGTTTGACCCCAATTATTTAGGCCTTTATGGTAAGTGAAAATGAATGTTTTAAACTAGAAACTTTATAATGTGCCAATATATGTGAGATTGTACATTAGCCAAAAAAAAAATTAAATAAATAAATAAATAAATAAATAAATAAATAAATAAAAAAATAAAAATAATAATAATAATAAAATAAAAAAAAAATTTAAAAATCTCGACCTACGAATCCTAGATTTATTTGGAATATTAGAGGAATCAAACATAATTTTTTAAAGCCTAATTAGCATTCTGATTCTGCTTATTAATGTTTGTTGCTTGTTTTCTTTGTGTGATAAAATACTGGAAGACAGCTTTTGACATTCTAAAAATGTCTGGTTTATATTTTATAATACAAAAGTATGTTTTCTGTTATCTTTACAAATTTTAAACAATTTCACTTTTTTTTCATTTGATTTTTTATTCGGGCGACCTGAAATTCATCCGGGCAACCTGAGATCAGTACCAAGGTTGCCCAAATGGCGAGACCAAATTTTGACGATTGTCGAACCCTGGAATTTAATTCTGTAAATTTACTTTAAATTTACTTTAATTTTTAATAGGTTGGTTTCCAAATAAAACTAATTTATAAAGAAAACTTTGCATTTAATTGTGTTGAAGCATGTTAAATCCACTGTGTTATTACATTCGTCGATACACTGTGTTAATGGACAGCTTGGGTATCAAACATTATTTTGAAAAAATAAAGTAAAACCTCAGTAAAGTTTTAAGAGCTTGGAAAATGGTTTGGTCTAATTTACAAGTATTAACAGGAACACGAAATGATAATTAACAGGAACACGGAATGATAATGGCCAACTGAACTATGACATACACCCTTATAGCTTGTGTAATCAAATCGTGTAAAACTCTGTTATGAGGGAATTGAAGTTTGCTTTTTTAATTTATGTAAATCTAAATCAAAACAAGAGGCCCATGGGCCACAACGCTCACCTGAGTAACTTTGGCCCTGCTGTTCTTCACCTGATTTCCTACGTTGTTATACCTTTTGTGGCCCTACCCCCCCCCCCCCCTCCCCGTGGTCATGATATGAACAATTTAGAATCTACACTACCCCAGGATGATTCCACATAAGTTTCAGCTTTTCTGGCCCAGTGGTTCTTGAAAAGAAGCTTTTTAAAGATTTCAATGTAAAACTTGGATTCCCTATTGTGGCCCCGCCCTACCCCCGGGGGTCATGATTTGAATAATTTAGAATCTACACTACCCCAGGATGCCTCCACATAAGTTTCAGCTTTTCTGGCCCAGTGGTTCTTGAGAAGAAGATTTTTAAAGATATTTTCTACATATTTCAATGTAAAACTTGGATTCCCTATTGTGGCCCCGCCCTACCCCCGGGGGTCATGATTTGAACAATTTAGAATCTACACTACCCCAGGATGATTCCACATAAGTTTCAGCTTTTCTGGCTCAGTGGTTCTTGAGAAGAAGATTTTTAAATGACTCCACCCAATTTTTGTCTTTTCTTGATTATCTCCCCTTTGAAGAGGGCTTGGCCCTTCATTTTTACAATTTAAACTCCCCGTCACACAAGGATGTTTTGTACCAAGTTTGGTTAAAATTGGACCAGTGGTTCTTGAGAAGAAGTTGAGAATGTGAAAAGTTTACAGACGGACGGATGGACAGACAGACAGCTAGACGGACGACGGACAACGGGCGATCAGAAAAGCTCACTTGAGCTTTCAGCTCAGGTGAGCTAAAAATAAGTAAAAACAATATTTTTAGTTGTCTACTCAGTAATGTAAGTATATTAAACATTAAACTATTGTAAGTGAAGTTTTTACGATCGCACTATCCAAGTACAAATTAAAGAGAAAGTGAAAGAAAGTGGCGGGATAGCGGTATTGAATGCACAAAGCCTATGTTTATTATAAAATATGATCGATGCATTAGAAATAAAGCAAAAGGAGTTCAACAGCATGTCGAAATATGCATTTACAAGATAAGTTGACAATGAATTAAAGTGTCAAAGTGTTTTAACTATGATATTTATTATTTAAGGTAGAACGGAAGAAGAAAACAGAATGGAAAATTAAAAGTACTTATCCATACACAAATAATATAAGCTTTCAGAATGATGTTTTAATGGATTTTTTTTGGGACCTTTTATTACGTTGCCCTCGGTATTACGAAGTTTTACCATGACAAAATGAACATCGTAATAACGAGACCACACTGTATTTTAATTGTATATCATAGGAAAGATTGCGAAATATTATGCTAAATCAGAGCTGGGTACACGACTCATATCTAAACACTGTAAGTTAATATGTTCTTGGTTTGTTATTAGAAAAGAAATATTTTATTTGCGGATGAACAGAGTGATGTAGAAAATAATGCAACTCGTTTAGCCGATTGGTCGGTTTGTCAGTCACGTTGGTGCCTCATTTAGCATGTAAATTTATTCTGACGTCACAGATAATAGTGCTTCAACCTGTTGAACGACATTTTGAATCGCCATTTTGACCTCTTTAACGCCATTTTAATGAAGCCATCAGATTCAGCATACTCAAATAAGGGTAATAAAATCCATGCAGGACCAAATCATAATTATTTGCCCTTTTTTTTTTCTATAAACCGAACTAGACTAGGTGTTTTTTTTTTTTTTTGAAGATCTGGTATAATCACTATATTTAGCTACATGTACGTAGCTTGAATTACCTAGATTGCTACATTTACCTATCTGAAGTAGTTTTATTCAGCTACCAAAACAATCTTATTTCTTAAATAAGCATTTTTCTCAGAAAGTGCAGAAATTTTCAACTTTGAACTCATCTGAAAACAATTCATGAAAAAAGTCGGATTTTTCTCGGGGACGGGTGAGATTCACTCCGTAAATCGCAAAGCGCATGCGCCGAATTTTCACTCCAAACTAGTATATTCCGGAGTAATTCAACTATTTCCGATATAAACTTTTTCCCCCTAAAAATTATGCGGAATTAACTCAAAAAAAAAATAATGCCTACTCCTAACCGAATGAACTCTACATTCTTAAGAGGACGATAGTTTCATTCCGGGGTGGGGTGGGGGTTGGCGGGGTGTTAAGATTTATTTATTTATTTTCAAACTAGAAGATTATTTATTTCCAAGATATTTAGGGACGAATTATTTATGTTTTAACAGTTAAAGAAGCAAATAAGAAGAAGAAGAAGAAAAGGAAAAAAACAGCCTTACTTCACAACTCTATTTGGGGTTTGGGGGAGGGGTACCAACAGGCAATAAAAAAAAATAATAATAATTATATATATGAAAAAAATATTAAATAGATAATTTAAAAAAAAAGACTTACTCCACAACTCTCTTTTGTGGATGGGTGTAGTTTGGTAGTGGTGGTTGTCGAGAGGGGGGGGGGGAGGGATTACCAACAGGCAACGAAAAAAAATTCTTGCCAGCTGGGGAAAAATTATCTATTTCCAACATTATTATATGTTTCAAAAAACTAGCAGCCCCCCCCCCCCTTTCAAATATACGGTCATCCTCTAAACAATCTGAATTTGCAAATACATTTTATTTAGTACCTCTCCGATAACTATTGTAGGTTGTCATCTTTTCATTTTGAACAAACAAATACTTTGCAAGCATCATGGTAAATGTATTTTATTTTAGCCATGTGTAGGTGTAATTGTTTGCATGTGTATATACATGTTTGTTTTGTAAAAATGAAAAGTAAATGAATTTACAAGAATACAGATAAAAACTGCGTAACACTATTTTAATACTATTATACTTAATAATGTACTACAGAATTATATTATAGCTAGGTCTTTACCCTTCCTTAAAAATAAAATGGGGCAATTTTACTTTATATTTGTTAAATTAATTTGCACTTTAGTTAGTTTAAATTTTTCCAAAGTTCCATTTCATCATGAACATAAACTAGTAGTCAGTAACCCTATTGCCATATACCTCACCCGAGTCAACTTGGCCCTACGATAAGAATTTTTTGTGTATACAAAAAATATTCCTTTTAAGGCCCTATCCAGCAGGAGGGACTATTGCTAAACCAAACATGAATATAATTATACAATAGGATATGCTGAAATATCTACATGACTGACTGTGAACCTAGCTGCTGATCACATAATTTTGAAACATACACATAGACTAAAACTCATGTTTGAAAAATCTACAAGAAGTCCCAGGCTTTCACATATATTAATCTTTATGTGAATTGTTCAAATATTAAACAGCAAACATAGAGCCGAACATTTGTATAAGCAGTATATCAATTTACCTTGATAAAAATAACTCAGAATAAGCATATTTTAATTTCATAATATTTTTATTATGACAACATACATGCTGAATAAAAAGACTGTATATGAAATCAAACTTTAAAATGTTTTCTTCCTAAAGAATAAAGGTGACAATTGTACTTATGATATTCTTTACAATCATACATGTACAAATATGCACATGTATTTAGTTTATCCTGCATTTGTTTATAAAAGTTTGTGCCTACTATATCATTTTATTCAATAAGATTTTCAAATTATAGACAATAAATGTTATATAAACAAAGTTTTTTGAATGATCTATGTACAGACATGGGCATGTCATAACACATGAGATAAATAGGAAAAATGGGTAAAAAATGTTCTTAGATATTGGATGAAGTAAAAAAATGGATCAGAATCTTTCGAAAGATATTGATAATAATTATGTAAATTAATAATTAAATAATTATGTAAATTTATGTACATTTTTTTTTTTTGAATTCACATCTAATGAAGCAGGTTAAACTACATTATACAGGTAACTTTTTCAACAGTACTGTCTGGGCTTCATCATTTGGGAATTAGTTTAAAAAAATAAAAATCAATTTTTTTTTCAATAAAGAACCTTTATGCATGCACCAAAAGTGCTAAAATAACAAACCAAAATAAAAAGGGAAAAAAGGAGGCCCAAGGGCCATAACTCTCACTAAGTTGTATTAGCCCTGTTCTTCTGAAGAACGTTTTTTAAAATAATCCCTCGTTATTTCCATAAAAAAATTTGATCCAATATGGTGACCCTACCTTGGCCCCAAGGAATTATAATTAAACTAAATTTAAATTCACTCAAAATGGAAACACTTCATTATCAAACTACAATGTACTTACTGGATACATACATTATCAATATACATGTAACTAAATTGACCTTATTGTAGAAAAGAATGTTTTAAAGATGTTATTTCATTTCATACACTATTTTAGCCTCAACCTTATCCAAGGATCCATAATTTGACAAAGCAAAAAGCTGAAGGACCTTAGTGGACACCCAAGTTTTTTCATTATCGTAGTTGAATAATCAAAGGGGACTAACTTCTCTCAAAGTAGAGTGAATATACCTTACATAATCAATTGTGCATTTCCCCAGCATCAGAAACCCTGACCCTGTGGTTATGATTTACATATGTGGTAACAACACCTTTGCTCATTACAACTTTTCAATTGGTTTGCCTGCCAAATGCCTACAGAAGAGAGAATAAGATTTTCAAAAATTTAATGCGTTTTCACTATATGATGAGGAGAGCATGTCTCAAGACCACCCCTCTCCCTGAATTTTTGCTTTTTCTTGATTATCGCTGCTTCCAAGAAGGTATAGTCCTCTAATTGAAGAAACTTAATTTCCTTTACTCAAGGATGCCTTGTGCCAAGTTTGGTTGAAAATTGATGTTTTGGAAAAAAGTTCAAATATGTGAAAAGTTTACATTGACAACAAAGGACAAATTTCAATCAGAAAGGCTCACTTCACCCTTTGGTTCAGGTGAGCTAAAACAAATGAATGCTAAATATTAGCAGTACTTCAAACATGCTTTTAAAATGTAAACATTAACTAATTAAGTTCTCTCTGGACTGCAAATGTCAGGATAGGGAAATCTGATATAGATTGGCAATAATCTGAATGTATGAAAGGAACTCCTCATCACCTAACAAAGCACATGATCCTGAGATGAATTCCTGCACTGCCAGCTTAACCAAATGAGCAATGGCCTAAGGCAAAAGTCTGTCTACTATTGCCAACCTGCTACTGGACTTTATGCACAAGTTATAGGTCCATTTCTGAGTGCTTCTAGGGTTGCACACATGAAAAGAAAAAGAAAAGATATTAACTACAAGAAATGCTAATCACAAATAGGGCTGGGACGATACAGTTTTTTCTATATCGATACATATCACGATATTTGCGCCACGATACGATATGTATCACGATATGTCAAATTGGTTATAAAATGTTTTTTTAGTGAAATGAATGAAACATTTCTTCACAAATAAGAATAATTTATTCAAAGAAATTGTATATCTGTTGTAGAACAAAATCATTTTACCCAAGTGGTATTAATTATTATGTATTTCATATTTATATTTAGCATATTTATTTTATATATTTAACCCAAAATGTTAAGAAAACAGAGAAAACATAAGTCAGAATTTTTTTGGCGATATTTCGATATTTCTTCATCTGTATCAATATGCGCATCATCCTCACATTGAATCGATATTATCGATATCTCGATATATCGTCCCAGCCCTAATTACAAATTATGCATTCAATATATTCTAACTTTCTAAGTTATATATTTTGCTTTCATAATCAACAAGATGTTCAATAAACTAAGATTTCTTCTGCTTGAAGCCTTTTCTAACTTTATAACCTAATTTAAGACTAGATTCAAAGATTAAAATAATAATTTCACAAAGCACTTCATTTATTTGAATTAGAGGCTCGGTGAAGACTGTTATTTGCATTTAAATAAGTGACTCCTTTAGTATGTGTAGTGAATATATATTTAGATTGAAGTTTTACCATCCTTTGTCTTCAGTTTGATTCTCCTCCCAAATCATTGATGGTGGCACTCTCACCCTCTGCTGGAATCCAAGTTGACCATTTACCCTGCAATAAAACACACACAATTCTGAGCTTACTTTGACCTATATATCAAAAAGAATCTTTTGTAAATCATAGGTATTTAAATCTCACATTAAAACTAGTTTTAGAAAGCTTTTAGGGATATCATTTAGAAATTCAGGTATTATATATGTATACATAGTTATATACATATATATATATTTACAATTGCAAATGTTTTCCTTTATATACCGGTAACTCTATTTGAACAAGGCGTACTGTAAAAGTATTATATTTAGCGTGTATGATTGATATTTAGTGGAAATTGATTTTTGAACAATTTAGCGTAGATTTGATTTAGTGCATTTTTTAACGTTCTTATTTATGTATGCATGTGTAAGACATTTAGTGTTGTACTTGAACTAATAGCGGAAGTTTCTTTCCGCCAAAGGCGCTAAAAGAATACACAGCCAAATGTCATATGTTTACAGTACTTAATTCTGTATACAAATAGGTTTGTCATATGAACATAAATTCATTGTCATAAAGGATTGACATAATTTTACAGTGATGTCATAAGCAGTCAACTTCTTTACATATTCAATTTATACCGTTGAAGTTTGAAAAAAATAAATCAATTCATGGATTTAAAACTATAGTGTGCAAACAATTGTTATAAATTGGTCCAGAATGTAAAAATATGTAAAAAGGTATCATTTTAAAATTTTTATCATGATATAAATACGGGTTGATTTATGATCAAATCAATTAATCTACCATAAGGGATTTGATCCATATTTACATTATGATAAAAAAAATTAAAACAATACCTTATTTCTTAAGTATAACAGACAGACTGACAGACAGATGGATAAACCAAATTTAATATCCAATTCTTTCAATAAAATCATGGGACAATTAGCTGATTTTAATGGCCTTTTCAAAGGTATTGCTGGCAAAAAAGAACCATATGATAGATTGGACCTTATTGAATCTCATTACAAATCATGTTCATAAAAAGACATAATATCATGATGATACTTTTTTTCGAATATGATCATCAAATTACCTCCAAGTGCAATAATTTCATTTAATAGCATCAATTAATTTCTAAATAGAAAAGCAATTGGGTAATTTCTATAGTAATACTCCACTAGATGCCAAAAAAATTATTAATATGTTACTATATAATTATGTACCAGTAATGTGTTTTAATAAATTTATATCCAGCCTTGTATTTTCCCCAATTTTGAGATAATGGGTTGAAATATTTTTTTTCTTTAAATATACTTGCTTTCTTTATTGAATAACTTTAAGCCATACGGCCCATCTGCATAAGCAAAATAAACATATGTAATTGTGAACACATGGCAAGAGTCTGCATGGGGTGGAACCCCCTAAGTGTCCATCTGTCCGATCTAGGATGAATTGAATTCATATATTAATTGCCTTTGAATTATGAGAGTAATCTGTACTTTTATAAGTTGTGATTTTGATATTTTAGCAACTTACGTCAAAGGAGAGGTTTTTAGGTCGACATAGTCATTCCCTCCATTATTACTGTTAGCAGAGTATGCAAAACTCCAGCTCAGTATGAGGACCTGGAGAAAAAAAGCATAATTCATTAATACGACAATTTTGAGTGAACTAGTCTTGGAGCAATAGGTCAATCATCATTCACAGAAAACTGAATTGAAGAGATTCCCATGTTTTGATTAAAATGTTTGTCAATTGCTATGATTATTTTACCAAAAAGGGATGAAATAAGTTCATTTTTTTATTAGCAGAAATTTAAAAGGTGAAAAATTTATATTGTACTTTGTACTTGCCTACTTATCTTTACATGAACTTGCCAACATTGAACCTAGTAAAAGAGGTCCACATTTATGGTAATAGACATGTACGTTACGTCTTCAAAAGAAAAGAAATAAAATTAAAAAAAAAATTAAATAAAATTTATTCCTCAGATTGATAACTAATATAACCTGTGATATTACTATTAGTTCAACAGCTAGTCTCAACATTGAATTATTTATAAATAAAATAAAAATAAATAAGACATAAAAAAATTATACATTGCATTATAAATGTAAAATACTCTTTTGCCAGATTTTTGACCAAGAATTATTTTCTTCTCCCCTTCACATCATCCTAGCTTTTAACAAGCCCATAAGTTGGGGTTGTGTGTGTGTAAGACCTGGGGAGGGCGGGGGGTCATCCTTCACTCTTTTCGAGAAAAGTTAGATATATTTTTACTATGTAAATTTTCATTTAAGATAAACCCCCCCACACTATATATATGTATCCTCCCCCCCCCCCCCCCCACCACACACACAATAGGATTTAATACCTGTATTGTTTTCAATAACAAATACATTTAACGTAAATAAGAAACGCTTTACTGGATAAGAGGTAGGAATTGTTCACTTACGATCAGTTTAAGAGGAGTGCACATTGATTGATTGAGCTTTCTTCTATTCATCATTTCATGGAGGCCGCCATGTTGACTTGGGTAATCATAATCGGGTTTGAGGTTTAGAATTTTGCGCATGCGCACTTTTAGTTCCGGAGTGAATCTCACCTTTCCCTGAGACACCTTCAAAAAAATCACTCTTGAAGATGTGTCTTTTTCTGTGCAATTGCAGTCAAAGTTCTTAAAAATTTTGGGCGAAAAACAACAGTTAATTTGTGACCAAACAGTTACTTCTTGAATGAAATAACAAAGAAAACCAGTTTTGGTTAACATGATAATTGATTGGTAATTATTCAACACAATGTGAAGTGATCATACTCATCCACGCCTCACCGCACACAAGGTGGTGGACTGACACTCAAACAATGGAACTATATCTTTTGCTTAAAAGTGTTCAAACGCAGCAATGATTAAACTATCTCTGCTTTGGACTGCTTTTTAAATAACCCCTTGTAGAAATATTAGTAGACATCTACTTGGGATTTTTTTTCTCTTTTTTAAATATAAAGCAAAATTGTGAAATTGCATTGAAATAGCTAAATAAAGCTACCCGAAGTAGCTAAATAAAGCTACGGTAGGTAATTCTAGCTACGTAGCTAAATGTACTGGACCTGGACCTTTTTTCTTTTTTTTTTGCTTGACGGTCATCAATATATGAAATATATGGAGATAACGAACAGTATTCAAGCTCAAAAGTCCATTAAACAATACAAAATAGGAGAAGAGCAAACACGGACCTCCAAACATCAGAGGTGGGATCAGGTGCCATGGAGGAGTGAGCATCCCCTGCCGACCGGTCACACCCGCCGTGTGCTCCTTGTCATGATCGGGAAATAACTGAAAAATCCGTCGACAATTCAGTGTGTAAATAATGGCCTAACAATTAGTATGAAAAACGTCAGTCAGCATTTGACTCAATGATAAATTGTATTTGCTGAAAAGGTCATTGTATCGACCATAGAACTTACGAAATGATGACTTTAAACGAGACAGCTGATATTCTTGTTTCATCAACTTGTTTGTCAATAATTTACCTCGTTTTAGAAATTGTACATATGTAGAGCATGCTCTTGTGTATCGAATCAACTGAGAGATATATACCCAGTATGCAGGTGATGAAGGTATATTGCTGCATAAGATATGTAAGGCATGCACTTACTTGCTAAGCAATGGAAAACGTGTCATCCTTGCCACCTGCTTGGGGGTCAGTACCCAGGCATTTTCATAGATATGTTTCGCATCCTCCAAGGATAAGTAATTTAATTCAAAATCGCAGGCGAGAAGGCACTCATCTACTACCTTCTCGTCTTCCTCGGTCAAACAAACCAAACGCCATCTTTGTAGGATAATATCGAGTATGTCTTCCTCTATCTGCCGCACTCCTAGTTTGTCAACAAAACAACTATCCCACTGAGATGTGCACCTAGGAAGTGTTGAATTTGGTGGACTTGAACTATCCGCATCAGAGGCTGTCTCGTTGGATGTCTCAGATTTAACTTCTTCTGATGAACTCATGACTGCATGAAATTGGGTAGACTTAGAGTCTATAACTAACCCAAACCTAAAATAAATTCCGATTTGGTTAAAGTTTTATATATTTTTAGTATACCGAACCCGATCTATTATGCAAATTGACCTATAACGTTACTCGGCACTCTAAGCCATTGAGCAGTGAGGGATCTTTTTCGTGTCAGCACCTACTGCGACACGGGGCCTCGGTTTATTAAGAAACAACGTTATACAGTGAACATGGCGTTATGCAGGCGCGGATCCAGGAATTTTTTCAGGGGGGGGGGGGGGTCACCACAGTCAAAAAAAATTCCAACCTAGAAATTTATTGACAGGCAAAAAAAAAAAAGTAAACTCGTCCAAACGTGAAAAACCTATTTCGTAGGGGGGGGGGGGGGGGGTAGCCGTTGACTTCTAATGCTTAATACCTATGACTTTTCATACCAACTTTCCACAGATACGCGTTCTCCGGGGGGGGGGGGGGGGGGGTCTGCGTTTTCGGGGGGGGGGGGGATCCAAGGTCACTTTTTACTTGGTTTAATATATAAATTTAATAACTCTGCAAATTCCAGGGGGGGGGGGTTCCGAACCCCCCATACCCCCTCTCTAGATCCGCTCATGGCGTTATGAATAGCAATTGCTCTGCTGGCATATTCCATGATGCGCGCTAGCGCATCATAGAAAATATGCCAGCAGAGCTATCGCTATTCATAACGCCATGTATTCTCTTTAGAGAAGTGGGTAGGCTTTCGCCTACAGCCACGTAGGCGAAAGCCTATCCACTTCTCTAAAGAGAATCAACACTATATGTTCACTGAATAATCGTTGTTTTTACTTAGGCCAAACAAAAAAAATATGTGTGGTTCCGGTTACACTTCCAAAAAAATTAGGGTAGGTAGGTAGGGATTTTTTTTTTTTTTCTTTAACAAAATGATTTTCTTCATTTTTTCTAAATAATACCTATCACTGCTTTGCAAATGGCATTTAGATGTGGTGTGATAATATACCAGTCAATATTGGTAGGGGACACCTACATGCTAGCTTGCTTTGGATTTAACACTATTAAACACTTGTATGAGGCGCCGTTTTGGTATTTACTGCCAAAAAGTGATATCACCTATTCGAATAGGTGATATCACCTATTCAATTGGTGATATCACCTATTCGAATAAGTGATATCACCTATTCAGCTTCTGAATAGGTGATATCACCTATTCGAATAGGTGATATCACCTATTCGAATAAGTGATATCACCTATTCGAATAGGTGATATCACCTATTCGATTTGAATTGGTGATATCACCTATTCGAATAGGTGATATCACTTATTCGAATAGGTGATATCACTTATTCGAATAGGTGATATCACTTATTCGAATAGGTGATATCACTTATTCCTTTTGAATAGGTGATATCACTTATTCGAATAGGTGATATCACCTATTCAAATCAAATAGGTGATATCACCTATTCGAATAGGTGATATCACCTATTCGAATAGGTGATATCACTTAATCATTTTGAATAGGTGATATCACTTATTCGAATAGGTGATATCACCTATTCAAATTATTTATGAAATAACAACTGCTCCCAAGACTATAGCTTTAATTCTCATTTACTTTCACTTTCGTTTTATAACTTACCATTCTTGCAGACAATGGATTACAGCTTCGCATTTAGTTTTAAGCACCCCAGTAGAATTTGTTGTTTGTTTTTGCTCACAAATTATATTTATTACACTTATCTATCATGTATACTATAGGAAAATTCAAAGGGTCTGTAAGTCTCGTTGACTTTCACTTTCGTTTTATAACTCCCGGGTACCTGAGCGTTCTTGGAGACAATGGATTGCTTAAGTTGTAAGCATCGCAGTGGAATTATTAAACTTGTAGTTTGTTTTGATCCCCGATTGTTGCAAAGAAGAGGAGAAAGTGGATTGATAGATGCAGGTAAATAGCGTTTAATTGCTTTATTTTTTCATTACATAACCAGGTCCAGTACAATCAGTACATTTAGCTACGTAGCTAAAATCACCTACCGTAGCTTTGTTTACCTACCTCAGGTAGCTTTATTTAGCTATTTCGAGGCAACTTTTCACAATTTTGCTTTTTATCTTAAAAAGACAAAAAGTCGCAAGAAAATGTCTACTAATATTTATTCTAGGTATCATTAACAAAGCAATCTAAAGCAGAGATAGTTTTAACATTGCTGCGTTTGATCACGTTTAAGGAAAATATGTATTCCCATTGTTTGAGTAACTGTACACACCTTGTGCGAGATGAGGCATGGATAAGTATGATTACTTCACATTGTGCTCATGTTAACCAAAACTGGTTTTCTTTGTTATTACACTCAAGAAGTAACTGTTAGGTCACAAATTAACTGTTGTATATAGCCCCATAACTTTTAGAACTTTGATTGCAATTGCGCAAAAAAAGACACATCTCCAAGAGTGATTTTTTCATGAATTGTTTTCAGATGAGTTCAAAGTTGAAAATTATCACTGCATCAAAGTGCAATTTTCTGCACTTTCTGGGAAGAATTCATATTTAAGAAATAAGTTTGATTTAGTAGCTAAATAAAGCTACTTCAAGTAGGTAAATAAAGCTATGTAGGTAATTCAAGCTACGTAGCTAAATCTAGTGATTGTACCAGACCTGATAACGTAAACACAAGCTATTCCGAGGGGGCCAAGATTAGCCAACATACTTAAGCAAAAAGGGAAAATTAAATCGTTTTTATGCTAAAATCGTCTGTATTCAAAAGGTACGCTTATCTACAGATTGGTTTTATAAATTTAAAGCATTGACTTAGCTTACAGTGGTATAATTTGGAGTATTGGACAGGTATGTACATGAGTTTGGGATATTGAATGCGATGTCATTGAAAGCAAATAAAAAAAATAGATGTACCCAAATGCATCGACCATGGGAATACAAAGTTGAATACCACGTCTATAACATATGATCTTTGTAGAAAACACATTCTTTTTTTTTTTTCAAACAATGTTTAATTACAACAATAAATAAAAATGGTCAGCTCATTCTGTAGGCTATAAGCTACCCTGTCTATTCGGAAATAAAAATGGTCACAAACACTCAAAAAATAATCATTTTTTATTCTACAAAGAAGAAGGCATTTTTCATTTACACATACAAACTGGATTAACCGCCAAGTTTCATGACCCCCCCCCCCCCCCCCCTTGCCAATACTCCTACAATTATGAGACAGACTTTTTTTCTTGAAATAGGCAATTTTCTCCATTTGTCATTATATATTACAGGGCTGCACAAGGTACTGAAAAAGGGACAGTGTTTTGAGTGAATGTGTTATCCATGTATCTGCAAATGAAGCAGATCCCCCAGTTATTATACTCATGATGAGTGTGACAACTTCCAACTTCCAAGTTGTTAATGACGGAACTCCATTTAAATCAGGTACAAGTAAAAGTTTAGGCTGCACAATTCTTTATTACAATATTCAAAACTTAATAATTCAGGATCAAGTTCACACAAGCTCACATTCCATGGTTACTTACAGCACCATTATGCTAGATAAATTTGTTATGATACACTTTCATGTTAAATAGTCAAATTTGATTGGTTTAAAAAACATTTGTTAACAAGTACTATTACCATACTGTATGCCAAACATTACATCCCAATGGTTGAAAATGCATGACTACGGGTAACAGTATATACAGTAATAAAAAATGTTAACTGTGCAGAATGTTTGCACATTCGTTTCACCTTGATGTTTCCTTTCTAAAATGCATTTTATGACAAGAAAAATATTACCTGTTTATTTTGGGTGATGTAAAATTCTTACCCCTTAAAAACCATTGCTGACCGAGGCGAGGTCAGCGATGGTTTTTGTGGTATAACAATTTCACGTTATCCTACTAAACATGTAATATTTTTATGTTATGTGTACTTCTATTTGTAAATGTTAATGACTGTGAAAAACATAAATATTTATAAATTAGTAAAATCAATTTAATACACTATAAATACACAAAAGGACAAATTTGTACATAATTCTCTATGATTAGGTTAATTAGTTTATATAAAGGATGTAAATGGGCATGATATATCATTGTTAATATTCAAGAAAGTGTTAACTGTTTTTCTTGTAGATGCTCCTTTCCATCTGATGTTTTCCAGGTTTTTGTGAAAAGTTTTCTTAAAAATGGCACCATTCAACCACAAATACTATGCCAGTGGAACTGTGATATCAATCAACTGCTTATGACACTGTTAACCGGCAGAGAAATTATTTTTTTTTATTTCAAACATTTTATGCCTGCAAATTGGTAAATGTACTTCATGAAATGCTTGAAGGATGCTAAAGGCTACTGAAATTCCAAGCCAAAGGATTGATACAAAAGTCATTTGAAGTTTTCTATTCTTAGTGATGAGTGTTTTTCAGGATGCCCTCTGATATCATAGCTATACAACTGGTCACTGTCCTTTGTTAGTTACACATGCAGACATCTTATTAAGGCAGTGATATAAGTAGCTCGAAGTGGATGCTTTATTGTTTTCCTCAGATTTATAACCTGGATTGATCTCTGATACAGTAATTTAAAGCCACGTCTTTTCACTGTCACAAAGTACTGAAATAAAAATAAATTTGATTAAAATATTTTTTTTAATTCATATCATTAAATTTTTAAGCTACAGAAATTCAAATTAATTACCTATTAGTAAATAGAAATCTTTAATTGATTAGCAAGCCTTTGCATTGTCAGTTCCTTTTCTGAAAGGACCATTTACCTTTAACAATGTCAGGACAGGTGAGGCAACTGGCTGGTCTTCATGCTGGAAGTGCGTGTTAACTCTGTAATCTTTTTAAACAAAACCATCCAGTGATGTCCTAAGATTGCCAGATGCGCAGACATATACCTGTATATAAGAAAGATTCTGTAACATGACATAGAATTTTTGCACAGCTTGACACACAACTGATGGTAACTTAGGTGCCTGCAAAATAATAAATCTGGCACATATTTATTTATTTGATACAAATCAGAACAAAATTTGTCCTTTTACAGAACAAATTATTTTCATTATAAAGAAAAGAGAAAATGCATATGTACTGTGTTAATATATATAACCTGTATTATTGGATATTTTTACCCCATTCTAATTTTTAAAATATTCACTCTTTCACCCTTGAAAACAATTTTGCCCTTTTCAAATTTGATCAGACACATTTGTGTTTAAAAGATATATGCTGCCTTCTTCGAATTTGTCCCATTTTAAATTCACCTACTTGTAAGGAGGGCAGAATGAGAAAAATAAAACTGGGGCGAAAAATTTCCAGAACAAAGTACCATTACTCGCCTGCCTGTTGTACTATAACTCCTCCAGCCTTACAATATTCTATAATCATTGCTTTCATGCGATACCCCCCAGTGGATTGATGGTCTCTTTTCCAAATTATATGCACTTTCTTAAAAGAATGAATTTGTCAATTTATGAAATTTAGTATTACAAGTTAATAAAGACAGTAAAACAATGTTATCAACATTTATATGCAAATGAACCTCTGTATAAATCACTAATAAATGATTGACAACTTGTATGTAATATATCGAATACCCTTAATTTTGCATTTGGAAACTCAGCATTAAGCCCAAACAAAAAAATGTGTGGTTCCGGTTACACCTCCAAAAAAAATAGGGTAGTTGGGATTTTTTATTATTTTTTTTTTTTTTAGTACAAAATGATTTTCTAAATTTTTCTAAATAATACCTATTTCTTTTCGTTAGCATAAGTGAACTATTTTATGTGTAGAGTGTTAGATATGTTTTCTCTTAAGCATATGGATTAGATATGTGCTTTAATGTGTGAATAAAATGTCTTGGGTATTTAAACAGTTGTTTGCTGATTCTATTCATTCCGAGTTCATACTGTCATCTAGAAAATACAATGTTTGAAGAAAATCAGCATGAGCAAATTGAATTATTTAACTGTTATTTGGATATTATATTTTCTTTTTTAAGAATGTTAAGTGTTTCTGAAAATGATATGTGCTATCCTTGTTTTTAAAGGATGATATTAATTTCAGAATTGTATATTATAAGTAAAATTAATGGATATCTTAAGCATTATACATTAAATCTTAAATATAGATCATGATTTCTCTATCGGAATCTGCTGCAGAAGTCTTTATACAGGTATATAAAATCTAAAATTGTACATTATAGAATGCGAAAAAACAAATATTTTGTGAAGAGCTGAGTATACAACTCATAACTAATAAATGTTTTGTTTATTTTGAATTCAGTCTTTTCCAACTATGGTTCAGAAAAGAAATGTTTTATATGTGGATGAACAGAGTGAAGGAGAAAATAAGTGGCATTTCGATGTGGCGTTAAATATACTAGTCAACATTGGCAGGGGGCACCCTAGTTATGAATATGAAACAAATATTTTTAAATCAAAAATAATGAAAACACAATCTTTTCTTTTTGTAAAAAATAAAGTCCAAGGTGAACATCCTTTTTTTAAAATCAGTGTTTATAAATGAAATTAATTAATTACTTTTATCCAGAACAGTTCTTATTTTACTTAATAATAAATTCTGAACTATAAACTAGAAAACGGACATGAGAGTTCTGCTAAGAGCTGTCAGAGGAAAAGAATGTGACACCTACACTTTGTACAGTAATGTTTAAAACAAAATAAATCACCTAAGCAAGATGACATAGAATCATTCAAATTTGTCAGAATTACAAATATTTAATATTATTAAAATTTTAAATCCTTTCATGAAACCTTTTTGCCTCATTGAAGACTTCATACTTCCAAGCTCATTTCTCATATATATTGGTGTTTTGCAAGTTGACTTTATTCATGTAAAATCAGCAGTCTTCTTTTTCACTTTTCCTCATGAACTGTTTTTTTTTCTACTTTCGGTTTAAAAGAAATGATCCTGATATAAATTATTTAATAGTTTACAAGTTAATCTATCTTACACATTGGGCTAATTCTTGCGTAATCAATGCAATCAAATAAATGTTTTCTCATGTTATCTTCCCCCTAACTCCAAAAAACGTTACCTGGCCAGCTGTCTGTGTGCTTTCAAGCGAGAAGTGATTTCCTATCCTGACTTCACACCTTTGCGTGCATTAAATAATAAAGGGGCTAATCAGCATGCACTTGTTATAAACCAGCTGTAAACAGAGCAACTAACTGAATCTCGCCACTCTTGGGCATATTTATTTAATTTTGGCAACCAAAAAACAAACAAACAAAAAAACATGGTGCTGGAAAAAGGTATACTGCCACGCCATGCTAGCTTGCTTTAGATTTAACACCATCAAACACTTGCACTACGTGTTGAAACGATTTTTGCATGGAGGCCGCCATTGCTGGAACTAAAACTAATACCAAAGTGGATGACGGAAATCACGGAAAATTCCGGAAAATAAATATGAATATTGCCGAAAAAAAGTTTAGGGTCGGGGATCTAAAATAGGGACGGTCAGGTAATGGGAACCACACATATTTTTTTATTTGGCCTAATAATATTCCATACATGATTGAGCTGTCACCTGATGAACCTTTAATTCTTTTCTATTTTTATTTTTTATATGCTTTATATGTATATGAATTATAAGAGTAAATGTAAGTCCAAAAACTTATTTTGTGACATCAATTTCATACCTGTATTTAAGTTGCCTTTTTGAGGATATACCGGGTAAATTATTCAAAGTCGATGTACATGTAGTCTTAGATGCTGCAGTTCTCTTGTATTTTAGCTATAAAATAAATCTTAATGTATACAATTGTGTAAGATGAAAGAATATTTCAAACACTGCATGAAACAGACCAAAACTTTAACCAAAATATCCTCTATAACATGCTCTCTAAACTGAAGAATATGGTCATATAATTGCAGTCATATGAATTTGTTCAATGATAAATGCAGAGAGAATTTGCAGAATATATAAAGAAAGTTTTATCGTTGGGATTAGGAAATAAGCAGGTCTAGTACAATCTCTTAATTTAGCTATATAGCTTGAAATAGCTATTTAGCTTTATTAAGCTATTCAAAATAGCTTGATTTAGCTATTTATATGCAGTTTTTTCACAAAAATTATTTTGGTAAGAAATAGACAAAAAGTTGCATGTATTTGACTATTCATATATGTGCTATGGGCTATCGAAACAACAAGCAAAATCAAAGATTATAAGCTCCAACTTTGCAACTTTGATTACTTTTAAGCAAAAGATTAATTCTATTATTTGAGTAACTGTCCACTACCTTGTGTGCATTGAGGCATGGATAAGTATGATTGCTTCTCACTGAATGTACTGAATTAATCAATTATCTTGTTGACCACAATTGGCCTCCTTTATAAATTCATTGAAGAAGTAACTGTATCAATTGCATATGTAGCCCAAAAACTTTTAGAACTTTGAGTACAAAGTCTCTTTTGTTTCTATTTCCCTAATTATCTCCCCTTGTTTAAGGGTCACAACCCTAGTTTTAGTATAAACAGAAGCCCTTGGCCCAAGGATTATAACCCTGTGACAAATTTGACAATAATGGCCAAAGGGTTCTTGAGTTATGGCCCATATTCTAAAAAGTTTACGTACACCGCACAAATGGCCACAGCATTAGCTCTTTGGGCCTTTGGCTCAGAAGAGCTTAAAAATGAACCTCTTACATTGATTTTTGGTCAATATTTTTTACAGTTTTTTGTATAGTTTTTTGATGAACAATGTACAGTATTTTCACCCAAATTCCTGTATTTTGAGGACTGCTGTACAGTATTTGGACCTAAAAATTATCACATGTATGCAAGGAGATTTTAATGAGTGAGTTTTAAATGCATCAATTTCAGATGAGTTCAAGGTTGAGTATCATCACTGCACCAAGGTGCGACTTTTTGTGCATGCTGAGAAAAGTATACATTTAAGAAAAAGTGTGATAAAATAGCTAAATTAAGCTATTCTGAACACCTTAATAAAGCTATATATATAGCTAAATCAAAAGATTGTACTGGACCTGATAAGTGCTTTCAAACATTGAATACTTAAAAAACTAGACCTACTGACATGCAACAGCTAAATTTTTGTTGATAAATGAAGCGTATTCTGAACAAATTATTTACCCAAACAAAGGTGATGCTGTCACAAGATGACGTTCGTACCCATCTGACACTTACACTACTCCTCCTTAATCAGCTGGTAATAACATTATTATCCTCGAATTCAAGAAAAATCTGTTAATAAATTAGTTGGAATGATGATAACAAAACTATTCTAATCAGATACAAATGTATAATATAAGACTTCTATTTCACCCAAGAATACCCAAGAAGCATGCAGGTGACATTCTCCGACTTGTTTACCTGTACTTCGATCGAAATTCTCCTCCTACTTGCTCGCACCCAAGCTTTTACGACCCTCAATTTATCCATCGTAAGTCGGAGAACCCTTCGGCTTTGTACAACTGCTTAAACTTTCCTTATACGCTTTGTGTAAACCATAAACATGCATAACCCAATACACATCTCCATGTGTGAGGTACCTGGAAGTTAATATTATCGAAAAATCTCGCGAGTCACGTGACGAGACTTACAGACCCTAACGCAGCCCGAATTTGCTTGGTTCCAATGAAAATCTAGATAATCTTGAGGAAGGGAGCATTCATTATTTGTTGTCGTAAGAAATGCGAATAGGTGATATCACCTATTCGAAAAGGTGATATCACTCATTCAAATTGAATAGGTGATATCACTTATTCGAATAGGTGATATCACTTATTCGAATAGGTGATATCACCTATTCAGCACGAATAGGTGATATCACCTATTCGAATAGGTGATATCACCTATTCATTTCGAATAGGTGATATCACCTATTCGAATAAGTGATATCACCTATTCGAATAAGTGATATCACCTATTTGAATAGGTGATATCACCTATTCGAATAGGTGATATCACCTATTCAATTTGAATGAGTGATATCACCTATTCGAATAGGTGATATCACCTATTCGAATAGGTGATATCACTTATTCGAATAGGTGATATCACTTTTTGGCAGTAAATACCAAAACGGCGCCTCATACACTTGCACTATGTTTTGCAAGGAGGCCGTCATTGCTGAAACTAAAACTTAAACTGGAGCCATTGATGGAAATCGGGGGAAATTCCGAAAAAAATATGAAAATTGCCAAAAAAAAGTTTAGGGTCGGGGGTATGAAATAGGGAAGGTCGGGTAACCGGAACCACACATATTTTTTTATTTGGCCTTATATTTGCATTCTGTGATGTCAAGGATATCAGAGGAAATCCTAGCCTGCATAAGGGCACGGTAGCATGCTTGTCTCCAGTGAAGAAAAACAAGTCTACGTGACAAGTCTGTGTCATTTTTACACACTAATATAACTCACACCAAACTTAAAAACATTCCTTGATTGACCCGTACTTGTAAGTAGTTCATAGATGTTAGAATAGAAATGAATAAAATAAACATGGTAATTAAAATAAACATTAAAGCAAAATTCAAATTTAAACAATATTTTATTAATAATCAAGTTCACCATGCAATGCAAAAAAAAAAAAAACAAAAAAAAAAAACAAAACAAAACAAAAAAAAACATATAATTTAAAAAAAAAAAAAAAAAACCCATTGAATATCATTTCAAAACAAAAAAAATATAATCATTAAGACTTACTGTAATTAAAAGTAATGGCTAAAAGCCTATCAAAATGTGACGGAGATGATTGCATTTTTCTATGAACAATAATGTTATTTGTAAACATTAAACGCTCAGTACGCAAGACAATACAATTCTTAGATGACGGTAGACAGACGTCTCGACCGAACGGCACCTCGGCCCGGCAAGTCTGACACCACGGCCCTGACATGTCGAACCAAGATTATTGGTCAACACGTCGGCCCATAAAAGGGACTCCTCAGCCCAAGCAAAAATTTTATGATCGAAAAAGAATTAAACCATTGTCTGAATTGATATTATTATTGATGTTATTATTCTTTCTTAAACGATTTTTTAATTTAAAAAAAAATAATAATAATAATAAAGGGGGGGGGGGGGGTCTATGATAAATGCGCGTGATTGGTTCATTTCTCTTAAACTAAATCAGATTAATCTTTAACTTACATCTATCTCTTGTTTTTGCCGCCCGGAGGACCGGGCTGCTCTCTACATATAAGTTTAAGTTTTGGTGTATGGGGATCGAGGTTGGAGAAGTTATGCAGAATTAAAGGTTAACTATACATTAAAATGATTATACATCAGAGCGTTCTTTTCCTTTATAAATTACGAGATACACAATATGTTTACTTCCATGAAGTACATTCTTCCAAATAAATATGACAAATCATGGGCTTTGCTGTTTTTGAGAAGAAGATATTTAAAGATTTTTACTATGTATTCCTATGTAAAATTTTGATTGCCCACTGTGGCCCAGTTTTATCCCCGGGGATCATGAATTAAACAAACTTGAATCTACACTGCCTGAGGATGCTTCCACATAAGTTTCTTATTTTCTAGCAGTGTTCCTTGAGAAAAAAGATTTTTAAATGATGACATTAATTTTTCACGAATTCGTAATTTTTTCCCCTTGGAAGAGCGCGTGACCCTTCATTTGAACAAATCCCCTTTACCCAAGGATACTTCGTGGCAAGTTGGTTGAAAATGGCCCAATGGTTCACGAGAAAAAGTTGAAAATATGAAAAGTTTACAACGTCTGTCTGCGTGTAACACTTTCGTTTCCAGACAACATCTCAAAAACACTTTGATCTATTGCAATGAAATTTGATATCACAACTCCTTATGGCCTAAAGAAGACCCCTATTGATTTTGAGGTCCGAAGGCCGAGGTCAGAAATTCACATGTTCTGTCTGCGTAACGCTTTCGTTTCAAGATGATATTTAAAAAAAAACTCTTTGAGCTTTTCCTATGAAATTTACCATCACAACTCTCTATTGCCTGAAAAAAAAAAAAACCGTTTTGATTTTGAGGTCAAAAAGATCAAAGGTCAAAATCAGAAATTCATATATCCTGTATGTGTAGAACACTTTCATTTCCAGATGATATCTCAAAAAGCCTTTGAGCTTTTGCTATGAAATTTGATATCACAACTCCCTATAGCTTAGAGGTTGAGAGATCAAAGGTCAAGGTAAGAAATTCATGCATAAAAAGAATTCCCGATGATAACTTTAGTTTTCTTTGAAATTTTGCAATGAAACTTTATAACTCACAATGACTCAAAGAAGACCTCTATTGATTTTGAGGTCAAAAGGTCAAGGTAAAAAAGTCATATCCATAAAATGGTTTCCTGCTGATGACTTGGTTCTCCTTTTGGTTTTGCACTGAAATTTTATACTGTTAGTCAAAATAACTTTAATAACAACTGTTGATTTTGAGGTCAAAAGGTCAAAGACCAAGGACAGTTTTTCAAATATATTGAATATATAGTTTTCAGATGACAGCTTTAGTTATTGAATACATAGTTTTCCGATGATATCTTTAGTTATTTGTTAAGTTTTCCAATGGAACTTAAGGTAAGGAATTTCTTTTACTTAAAAAAACCCCTATTGACTTTAAGGCCAAAATCTGAAAGGTCATGGTCAACCTTTTTCTTTCTCCATCTGCATTTTTTTCAGGTCCTCCAACCTTTTCATTTTTACTTAAGCAGGGGACACAAATTCCCTGAATTAGCTTGTTTTAATATGCAACATATCTTCTACCTAGGCGTAATAATAATAAAAAAAATGTTTGTTTATGGTTACCCGGGCGACCCTACATTTGATGGCCGACCCAATTTTTTTTTCGTCGTAAAAATATCCAGAGGTCACTCGCCGGTCAGTTTTACTTTTACATGCATCTTAAACGGTCAAGGGTTTGAAATCGAAAGCGAAAGTACTAGAAACGAAATGGAGTGTTCAATATCTCATCAAGGTGTTCATTGCAGTTTGAAGAATGCCGTTATATATAAAAGAACTCAAACTTATACTGGCATTGCCAAACAGCATGACCTTTATTCAGGTGTTTGAACGATATCATGATGGAAATGAAAATGAAACCAATTCATGTGAATTTGTGTATTATCTATGACATAGATGTTCCCCAAACGCTCCCCCACTTCCATTTGGTGCCCCATTCCCTATAGGCTTCAAGAAATCAAGCAAAATCTTTGTACATGTATTATAGACTTTTACAATATATTTTGCAAATTGTTTGGAGAAATAACAAAGCACATATAGCAGAATGAGCATAAGCCGTTCAAATTTAAGTACACGTGCATGCACATGATTTCGAAAATTTCCACATGCATCATCTAATAGTATGCTATAATAAAGAGCTATATCTTTTAGATTTCAAAGAATTGCACTGAAAAACGTAGAAAAATACAGCAACTTAAATACTCAGCACGCATGCATACATGTCTTTAAATTCATTTCTGATGATTCCATAACGTATTTTCTAGATTATTCACATTTATTATACCTCTGTGATTTTTTTCTATATAAAAATATGACGAATAAACATGCTATTTTTCCAAACAGCCCCGACCTTGGAATAGTTTTTGTGCCATTTGCCTATGGTGGAATAGTCATTAAACTTTTCACCGGCAGCATTCTGTTTCCCTCACTTTTTGTCTCGGAACTCTTCTGGTTTTATTCAGATTGTGACGTAACACAAGTAAAGACTGCTTCGGTATAATAAAACACCTATTTACTGGCTATGAGGACAATAGCAAGTTTATTGTCCCCCTCGACAGCAACTATTTCCCTCGGCTGCGCCTCGGGAAATAGATGCTGTCTTGGGGAACGATAAACTTGCTATTGTCCTCATAGCCAGTAAATAGGTGTATAATACATGTATATTCTTATAGTGCTTTATAATATATACCATGCAAGCTTGCATGCTATTTTGACCATGTCATCTTGTTTACACTACTCATGCTTATATATATACTGAGTTTCAAAGCATTCCATCAAGAAGAACGAAAAGCTATAGTCATTTCAATTTTATCAGTCATTTTACCTATTGTACGCACACGCACATGCATGCACGTGCCTGAAAAATGACCTTCGTTCCGCACATCTACACAACATGCCTAGGGTTCAACCCAATTGGATGAACAGTTTCTGAGAACACTTGCGGGCAAAAAAGTTCCAGGAATAATAATAACTAGAAAGTCTGCTATTGCAAGCAATTGTGTATATCGCCCCGAACTGGCTTTATTAGAAATAGTCTAAAAGTGTATTGTTCTAGGATTCTCTTTGTTTTGTTTTGTTTTTTTTTGTTTTTTTTTAAAAAAAGAAGCTTATATTTAAGCACATGGTCCAATCTACCGACTCTTGGATTGTGGAGGATTTGTTGTGCGGAGATAATAGTTTTGATTGGCAGGATTGATGATTAATAAAAATTTTGATTTCCTCAAAAACCTCTATTTTGTTTTATTTCTGATTGAGTGAACATGAAATACATCAGAACACAGATGTTTATACATGTAAGATGAAGTAATCGTAAATAAGATGATTTACACACACAACAGAAAAAGCATCACGGCAGCGGAATATAAACTCATATATTAGGGAAGCTTGATTTTATTAATAAATATATCTGAATACCCTCACCATA